TTAATTATGATCTGGCCAAATAGCAACGCCATTTAGCCGGCAAATCTAACTGGAGCTGCTTTGTTACACATGCATTAAATTCTGTTTTAAACTCGGGGAAAAGGCTATTCGGAGAGTTGAATTCAGGACACAAGTATATAGGGATGACTGCTTTTCCTGTGTACAAATACTCATGTGGTATTCCCGAATCAAAGCCGGCGTAAAAAATGATTCAAAAGGAAGCAAGTCCGGTGACGTCATACTTGTCTTGTCTTGTCTTGTCTTGTCTTGTCCACAATTGCCTCACAGCGTAGTGGGGAGTCGCAGTTTTTTATCCTGGGCCAGGTGTGTTGCACGTGTTGTTGTTAGTCCGTGTTGCCTCAGGATCTCTGATATATTGTCTATCCATCGTACTCTCAGTCTGCCTCTTGCTCTAGGGCAGTAGTGCTGTTCGTTGTATGCTCGTAGAGGCAGTTGGTCGGTTTGCATTCGCATCAAGTGGCCAAACCACTATATTTGTTGCTTCTTTATGTATTGCAGGCATGGTGTGGTTCCTACAATTGCTCTAATGTTCTCGTTTCGAACTCTGTCTCTCCTTGTGACATTGGCAGCCTTACGTAAACATCTCATTTCGCACGTCGTGATCTTTTTCTCCTGGGCTCTTGTCTCTGTTTCTAATGACTAACTCATTGTCAAAAAGAGACAGCGGATATCGGACAGCCGACCTGTGACTGTGAGAATGATGGAGACAAATTTGCTGTTGAGTTGTGTGAACATTGATCCTTATAAACTGGTCTAATCAAGAGATAATCACATATCTATAACTGGAACTGTTGTGTTTTAAATGCCTCTACATAGCATGCGCGAATATTTTTCCTAACCGGCAATAACATTAGTTTACTGAATAAATTGTTTTAATTTTATAAAATGCAGTTTTTGCCTGTCCTATTCTGTTCTTGACATAGTCCATGGATATAATTTCATATGACACCTTATGGTGATACACATAAAGCTGTTGTGTTGAGAAATGAATGGTGGGACATACTGGCTATCTCTGCACAGATTGGTGTAATATTGATGCATAAGGCAGAAGTGGTTATGACAGTGTGGGAGAGCATGTACAGTTCAGAGGAGCAAATGGATCACCATAATCTGATGAGAGTGATGCAACGAGGAGTGACGAGGGGATCTGGCCGATGATCGAGGCTCAGAGGAAAGGCAAGACGGACATTTAATCAGAATGCTGCAGGCACCACTAGTATTGCAACTCTATGCTGGCTGTTAAAGATAGGGATGGGGCGCTACTGGGAATGCCACAAGTGTTGTGATGTCGGCTCTTGAATCAACTCAGCTAAACTGAGCAACAGCTTATTTCAAATAGTTCTTGGTAACTTCTAAGGTAAGAGTAAAAACAGAATGGATGTACGCGGACTAAAAGGAACCAAAAGTGCACTGATCTCAGTGCGATAACAAGGAAAGAAAAATGATAACTATGACATCTGAATCTAACTATGGGGGGATAATCATAGGGATACTTCGATGATACAATACGTCAAACAAAGGGATTGATTGTAGCAATATAAAAACAATATTTGCTACCTCTTTCTCTTGCTGCTGTTAGCTTTATTGTTTTTGTTGTTGAAGTTCTTCTTCTTCTTCTTATTCCTCTTTTTCTTCTTCTTTCTTTCTTTCTTCTTCTTCTTCTTCTTCTTCTTCTTCTTCTTCTTCTTCTTCTTCTTCTTCTTCTTCTTCTTCTTCTTCTTCTTCTTCTTCTTCTTCTTCTTCTTCTTCTTCTCCTTTTCTCCTTTTTTCCCTCGTTGTCAATTTTGTAGTCGTTCCTACCTCTGTCTTCTTACTATTGACGACTACTTGTACCAGGCGCTCCAAGGCCTAAGCAAACAAAGATATAAGAGGCTACGATGAACCAAATTGTCTACAGGATGTCCCGTATATATGTCTTTCATCGTTCTATACACAGGATTGGGGCCAATGAAAGAGGGAAACATTGAAAAAGACGTAAAAATTCTCAGAGAGAAAGAAAGAGAGAGAGAGAGAGAGAGAGAGAGAGAGAGAGAGAGAGAGAGAGAGAGAGAGAGAGAGAGAGAGAGAGAGAGAGAGAGAGAGAGAGAGAGGTAAAGAGATACAGAAAAAAAGAAAGATGGAGATGAACTGCGAATAATGACACTGTATGTGCATGTGTGTGTGCTTGTGTGTGTGTGTGTGTGAGAGAGAGAGAGGGAGAGAGAGAGAGAGAGAGAGAGAGACCGAGACTGATGCAAGGAAATAAAGGCAGTCAGAGACATTAAGAATGAGACAACGTGAGAGATAACGAGAGACACTGAAAGAGAGCTAGTTCCGCCTGTGGGTTCCGGGCCCTATATGGGGGTGGGGTGGGGGGGGGGAACTGGCGGCAAGAAAAGATCCACTGCATTTAACAAGCCTGTCGTAAAAGATTACTAAGTAAAGTTTCCATTGAAATCTGAGTAAGTCTACTTGAGATTCAAAGAACCAACAGTCTGCACACAAAGAAGCCAATCCTTTAAAATGTGCACGAAACCTCAAGTTCTGGAATAGGGTCGACCAATTAGAAGTGAGCTAGGCTCATGGTCGACAAGTCAGAAGTGAGCTAGTGTGTAACAGAGTGTAAATGGGGAGACTAACGTGGAACTAACCTACACCAGATGTTTGACTGATCAAAGACGTGCTGCAGCAGTACACACCTCAAGTAAAACACCCTTTTCCATGCCATCAGATATTTGATGCATCAAGGGCTGGAGCTATATTTTATAGACCAATCGATGACCTAGACCTTCGAATGTGCAGGCCAGCGTCTGGCCGCTACACCACGGCAGCTAAGTACACCTGAGCGGAATATAAATAGTAGACTAACAGAGCATAGAGTCAGGGGAGAGCAATCGGAGAAATATAGCTAGAGGGGTGATAGAGAAAGAACAAGGAAAAGAAAAGAAAGAAAGAACAAAGGGAAAGGAAAGCAAGAAAGAAAGAAAGAAAGAAAGAAAGAAAGAAAGAAAGAAAGAAAGAAAGAAAGAAAGAAAGAAAGAAAGAAAGAAAGAAAGAAAGAAAGAAAGAAAGAAAGAAAGAAAGAAAGAAAGAAAGAAAGAAAGAAAGAAAGAAAGAAAGAAAGAAAGAAAGAAGGAAGGAAGGAAGGAAGGAAAGAAAGAAAGAAAGAAAGAAAGAAAGAAAGAAAGAAAGAAAGAAAGAAAGAAAGAAAGAAAGAAAGAAAGAAAGAAAGAAAGAAAGAAAGAAAGAAAGAAAGAAAGAAAGAAAGAAAGAAAGAAAGAAAAGGGAATGTGTGATAGAGAAAATGAGAGACATGGCAAGGCGGGATCAGTTCCTATGTGTAAGCGTTGTCAGGTAATGGTTTAACTAAAAGCTACACATTCTTTTTCTTCTTCCTTTTTCTCTTTTGTCGTCTCACTGTTACCAGACTGTACTCCAGTGTCGTGGTTTTGTTGTCTCACTGTTACCAGACTGTACTCCAGTGTCGTGGTTTTGTCGTCTCACTGTTACCAGACTGTAGTCCAGTGTCGTGGTTTTGTTGTCTCACTGTTACCAGACTGTACTCCAGTGTCGTGGTTTTTCTGTATTTGTCTTGCCATTCACGGGTGGCGTGGGCGATGGATTTGTTGAACTTTTTGCAGGTTTCATCTACACCATTTATCTATCTCTTTCTTGGTCTTCCTCTCTCCTTCCTCCTGATTTTCTACTATTAAAAAGTCTCATATTTAGTCTTGTCTCGCTGCATTCTCACTAGATGGCCGAACCATTTCTTTCTTTGTCTGTGAGTATGACCCAGACATGGTCTTATGCCAACTTTCTTTCTGATGCTGGTAATCGCAACCCTGTCTCGTCTAGTCTTGTTAGTGACCTTGCGGAGATAGAGCATTTCACATGTAGTTATTTTCTGTTCTAGTGCCCTATTTATTGTCCATGTTTTGCACTGATAAAATAAAGTAGGGATAATGATGCTATTAATTATTAGCTGTTTTGCTGGAAGGGAGACATCTTGGTGTCTAAGCAATGGGGCTAAGTGGTAGGTTACAGCACTTGCCTTCTGTACTCTGACAACTATCTCTCTATCGAGTCTGCCATCCTCCGTAGATATGCTTCCTAGATATTTGAATTCTCGTACTTGTTTGATTGTAGCACTGTTAACATGAACGTTCATGATATTATATTTCATGCCTATCCTCATTACCTCAGTTTGCGCGGTGTTTATTCTCATGTCATACTTTGTGCAGGCTTGAAGTAAGGAGTAGACTTGATCATGTCTTTCTCGTGGCTTCCCTGTTGAGAATATGCGTGTGCACTTAGCTCTGCAATACTAGTAACACGTAGCTTTCACAACTAACAGTTTCTACATGAGTGGCGTTAGAACGCATTGATAGTTCTTTACGATATGTTAAAGAGGTAAACCGAGTGGCTTATTTGTAGTCAACAGTCAACAGTAAAAAGTCAACAGTAAACAGTCAACAGTAAACTGTCAACAGTCAACAGTAAACAGTGAACAGTAATAATATATAGTATAATAGGTTTTCTTTGGCAATAGAAAGTCTAAGCGACAATTACAACCGTTATATACACGCCTTGCCACTGAATGTGAGACAAAGAGAGAGCCGCACACATACACACACACACACACACACACACACAGATATATAGAGAGAAAGAGAGGGGGCGGGGAAGAAAATGAATGAGCGAGCGAAAGAAACTTTATTTTCAAACGGTTCCGGGAAATTAACCCGGTCAACAAATGCTCGATGAAGTCGGATATGTTTGCCGAAATGTGCGAATATCGCAGCCCTGCTGTAAACAGGAAGAATGCAGTTAGGTCACTCAGATGAACAAACAAAAAAAAAGGTCGTCAAACATGTCAAAAATTGGGCTCATAGGCCCGTCCAACATGCTGCCTTCAAGGCTCACTCCTGTCATACAAAACAGGGAAGAGAATTTGGACTTAAATCAATAAGACGGTTTTTATGCTTTATTCTCTTCAACAGCCAACTTGAGAATTCTGTTGAGGGATTCGAACCCACTTAAAATGCAGACAATCTGGTTACAGCGATCCAGTCCGGACATCCCATGGGGGTTTCGACTCGTGGGAGGCAGAGAGTTCGGGCTGCCACTTTCTGTCCAGAGGGTAAGTTTTTGAAGAATTGTAATTACCCATCGTCGTCATCATCATCATCATCATCATCATCATCATCATCATCATCATCATCATCATCATCATTATGGTCATAATCATCATCATCATCATCATCATCATTATCGTCATCATCATCATCATCATCATCATTATCCTTATCGTCATCATCATCATCATTATCAATATCGTCATCATCATCATTATCATTATCGTCATCATCATTATCATCATCATCATTATCATCATCATCATCATCATCATCATCTTCATCATCATCATCATCATCATCATCATCACATCATTATCATCATCATCATCATCATTATCATCACATCATCATCATCATCATCATTATCGTCATCATCATCATCATTATCATTATCGTCATCATCATCATCATTATCAATATCGTCATCATCATCATCATTATCATTATCGTCATCATCATCATCATTATCATCATCATCATTATCGTCATCATCATCATCATCATCATCTTCATCATCATCATTATTACCGTCATCATCATCATCATCATCATTATCATCACATCATTAAAATCACATCATCATCATTATCATCACATCATCATTATCATCATCATCATAATCATTATTATTATCATCATCATTATCATCAGCATTATCATCATCATCATCATTATCATCACCGTTATCATCAGCATTATCATCATCATCATCACCACCATCATTATCATCACCATCATCATCATTATCATCATTATCATCATCATCATCATCATCATCATCATCATCACTATCATCACTATCATCATCATCATCATCATCATCACTTAACTCAGTGTTGCCCGAACATTTGTTAGCTTCCTATCGTACAAGATCAGAAATATCACGATCATGTCAGCGCTCTTGTCCCACAACATAGTAATGCAAATGAGGAGATTCGCACATCAGTGGCATCTATTTCCCTCCAGAGTGAATTCCTCAGACGAAAATGTTTAACTCATTAAGTGCCTCACAAATAGTCTAACCGTTAAGTGCATCGTAAATTGTTAGTCTAATCGATATCTTTTTGTGGGGCAATACAATTTTTCAAAACAATCATCGTAGTGCCTTGGCGACTGAAGTGGGCGAACATGCCTCTCCACAATCTGCAATCCGCAACTGCGTGTATCAGTTCGTGTGTTGACACCCCTACTCTGTCTCTCCTTAAATATATCTTTCCAGTGGTCACAACATGTTCCATTTTCTCTCTTTGTATAACATCACCCCCCCCCCCCCCCAAAAAAAATATAAATATATATATATGACTGTCTCATTCTGATGTTTAGGATAGGTTATCTTCGAGCACTCGCCTCTTTCAAAACATCTGGGTTGCTCTTCTTAGCTGTCCAAGGAATTCTAGGGATTCCTCTGTAAAACCACATCTCCGAGGCCTCAAGATTTTGTTTGGCTTGTCTATTAGTTGTCTAGGATTCACAAATGTATGTTAAAACTGACTCTATTTAGCATGCGAGAATTATTTTCCTAACCTCCAATGAGATGGATGTATTGCACAACAAGTTTTTATTTTATACAATGCAGTTTTGGCTTGGTTCAAGACAATAAACATGCAGATTATCTGGCTGGCAATGCAGCTATTACAAACTGCTCAAGCACAGGCCAGGAGCTGTGATAACAATACCATGCGATATGGATATTGCGAAGTCGATCATGGATACCAGTGTGCAACCTGGAGCTGTCAAACATGAAAATTCTTTATGGGCACAGGACGTTTGATTTTATTCAACACAGAACCAGTGTGATCAATCGTTGTTCAAACTTGAGGCTATTTTAGAAGAAATTGGACCATCAGTAGGTTTGCCAAGAGCACTGTGATGAAAGTCTTGACTAATGAAAAGAAAGTCAAAAACGTTGTAAATCAGATGCCTCGAAACGTTAAATTGTACAGTCTGCAGTGTTTTTATATTCTCTCTACTAGTTCAGCTTCATAGATTGTTTGAAGTGTTTTTGGCGCTTTAAATATCAGAGATGAGGAGAGAAGCCGTGTTTGGTGTCCTGTAACATTTACTAGCTAATCTGCCTTGTCATTTCCACTCATACAACAGTGGGATGATATCCTCTGCAGGACCAGTTATAAGTTGGCGTTCTCATTTTAAAGCTGGTGGCGTCCTATTTGGAGCATACGAAGATTTGGAGAGATAATATCGCGAGCGAATATGGCAGTTGTAGTATTTAACTCTTTGAGTCCCAAGGAACGCATCATACGTTCACAGATACCTACCTAGAGGCCCAATGACCGCATGGTGCGCTGATTTTACGTCTCTCTTGACTACCCATTGGGCCTGTGATGCTAAACCCCATGGGACTCAAAGAGTTAATTATAATTAACTATAAAGCAGTCTGCAGAGCTAACACGACTGTTGATGATTCTCCTCTGCCGCTAATGAGTGGGCCTCTGTGGTGCCATTTGGATATGTAATGTAGGTTATGACACATCCCGTGTGTGACTTCTGTAGCGGACCCATTTGTCAACACATGTTAGAGATTATTCGTGAGGCTTCTAGAACTCTGCCGGTTGCTGGAAAAGGCTAAACTGCTCATATGTGGTTTAGAAAGTTTAAAAAAAAAAGTAAAGGACCCTTTCCACGCCTTTTAGGCGTATAGGGCATATAGGGCTAGACCTATTTGTTTATAGACCAGTCGGCACAAGATGGTTGATGTGGTCAGTATCACGCCGGCCGCCTCTACTTTCCTGGGACTGCACCCGGTACCCACTCAAGGCTGGGTCGACCTGGGAGCCAAGGTCATTTCTGTAAAAAGTCCGGCTCGGCCAGGGAGCGAACCCACGACCTTCCGATCCGCGTCTAGCCGCTCTGCCACGGTGACTTCCATATATGGTTCAGGTTAACAGATAATCCTGTAAGTTTGTATTTATGGTAGACGGTTTGGACAGTTTCTTAATAGGCAAATCTGAATATTGTTGTTGTCTCTGTTTACAATTTATGATGCTAAGCTCAGAAACCTGAAGCATAATCAATTAACCTAACTATTTTTTTTTTTTTTTTTTATTGCTGAATTTATCCCTTTGAGTTTGACTTCCATGTGTATCCTTGCTGTCGAAGATAATTTTAAGGAACATATGTGTATCTTAACTAACCAGTCAACAGATCTGACGAGGAAATCAGAAATAGGACTAGATATTAATTGTGAGATGATATCTGACGAGGAAATTAGAAATAGAACTAGATATCAACTGTGAGATGCCATCTGACTAGGAAATCAGAAATAGGACTAGATATTAATTGTGAGATGATATCTGACGAGGAAATTAGAAATAGAACTAGATATCAACTGTGAGATGATATCTGACGAGGAAATAAGAAATAGAACTAGATATCAACTGTGAGATGATATCTGACGAGGAAATCAGAATTAGGACTAGATATTAATTGTGAGATGATATCTGACGAGGAAATAATAAATAGAACTAGATATCAACTGTGAGATGATACCTGACGAGGAAATAAGAAATAAAACTAGATATCAATTGTGAGATGATATCTGACGAGGAAATTAGAAATAGAACTAGTTATCTACTGTGAGATGCCATCTGAAGAGGACATTAGAAATAGAACTAGATATCAACTGTGAGATGATATCTGACGAGGAAATTAGAAACAAAACTAGACATCAACTGTCAGATGCCATCTGACGAGGAAATTAGAAATAGAATGTACTCGACCCCTGCAAATAAGCTTGATGATTCGGATTTTGCTGATGACATTTGCCTCCTATCCAAAAAACAAATCAGATGTAAGATTCATTAAACACACTTGATTAGGGATGCCATCAGTTGGCTCTAGCATCCATTAAGGAAAGACAAAGATAATCAAATCAAACCAGGCAGACAGTAGTCAAACGTCTTGTGGTGATACCCCATTCTGTGATGTACTGCCTACCACACACCTATCCCCCCCCCACACACACACACACATCTCTATTTTGACATGCAGTATTGTGAATGGCGTCATGTTTCCACGAATCCACAAAAATACTTGTACCATTCATGTTCCGCTTACATACATCTTTATATCCTCTCACAGCTCCCTTACATCCTTACAAACTGTGTTGTGGAAATGGGGTAGGGAAGAGCTAAATTCTCCTCCCTCTTTCAATCTGTCCGAAGTTAGGCTCCCAGGTTCCATACTGCGCTCTGATGTTGAGATTTTCCAACACTTATCCGCACGCCATTACTCGTCTACATGTTGCAGAAGCGCCAGTAACTGAGGCACTAACTCCGATTGACGTACAGCTAACGAGTGCCTTGTACACCTACCGCAACTTCCTTGTAGTTTAGCAGTTGTGAAGCTGCAGTTTTAGGTATGAACAACCGTACTACCGTGCCTCTTAAATCTACTACGCAAACATTATTTACCTCTTTACAAGACAAATCTACCTGTGGCTTTCAGCTTCTTGCTACCTACAGATGTTCCCAAAATAGGTCCCCGCCTACTTGCAACGAGTTAGAGATTCCAGAGAAATGACGTGCCCACAGTAAGGTAAAAACCCAGTTTCCTCACCTTTCCTAATCATTTTTTTTTTAAAAGACGTGCACAAGTGTACGATATAAATTATTTTCGTAATTTTTTTCCTGGGTTTGAATTTTCTGTGTTAAATGAAGTGATGTTGTTTTGAAAACAATACAACAAGCTCGCACGGCGCCTATAGTCATATTCATCTCCCTGATAATGTCTGGTGTGACTAACATGTACTTAATGACATGTTCCTAGCTGCCTAATGCAGCCTCCCACTTCCAATGTACTGTTCGGCTTCAGCTAATGCGAAGTGCTTCATATAATGCCATGTTCCATTTTTAATACCGTGTACTGCATCAATTATCATGTTCCACAACACAAAGTAGCATGCTGTGTCACGCATGACGGCATGTTTCACAGCTGACAGTGTCAGTTCTTGAGAATAATGTCATGTTTCACTACACAAAATTTC